GGCAAGACTCGTGAGCGGATGCGAAAGCGGCCATTGTCTTTCACCACAAGAGACCCCGGGGCGCCATCTTCTTTCTCGCGCTCCAACATCCTTCCGATAACCGCACTCTCGACGTCACTCTTGGACCACTGCTCGGAGCAAACATATGCCTCAGGGTACTTCAGCTCTCGCAAGTCTTTTCGGGTCCTCTCCTGAACGGCCTTATGTGCAGCACTGACGACGTCTACCTGTGAAATTTGTGCGGCAAAAGGGTCCGACGAGGGCGGCTCGACGCCGGATGACTTAAACGCGGGATCAGGCTCTGTCGCGGTGGTGACGGCCTCGGCATCGGTGGGGATGGCTTCCGCCTCGACATGAAGCTTCGAAGTAATTGATTGGGAAGTTGGCTGCTGGAAACTGTTAGATAAGCATTCCAGAAGCGCAGTAGGTACTTACGTTGCGACGCTGGGGGATTGCTGCCTGTATATACTTGTCCTTGAAAGCACAATCCGGTAGTCTCTTGATTGCCTCCTTTGCCTCGGTTTGCAATGTGAACTCGACGATGCAATAGCCCTGGTGATTCCACCCACTGGGCTCAAGCCACTCGGTTGGCCAATGAAGCACTGCGTTGTTAAAGCCTTGATCGTGAACGAAGGCTTCTACCTCCTGCTTCTCGGCATCGAGGGGAATACCGCCTAAAAAGGCGAGTCGGCCTTCTTCGAACGAGGAGTTTGGAATCTGATCCATGTCTCTTCAGTTCCAACACTGCTGGTTGTCAATACGAATGCCTGAAGGTCTTCGATGCCGAACAAGAGCTTCGTACCAACAATCATGAAACGAATTTGTTTTCAAGTGTCTCAAAAGGAGCGCTGAAAGGACGTGACTTTGTGAGTCGATCGCAGGCTTTTGTGTTTGTTGTACTGCTGTTGCGAGACTTTTGCAACGCTTTGGCTATGGGATCATGAAGAAAGAAAAGCCCCGCTAGTCGATGAGGAATTCTCTGAAGCACGCGTTGTACTTGCAGGCAGGCATCTATAGCTTGTATGATAACGCGTCACACCTGCTGGTAGTTGCTGGCAGTCAGTTCCAGTGCCAATGCCAATGACACACTTGAGCAAATCATTATTCCTAGTGCACTTCATTGTGGGTCTCTTTTAATTCTGGTTTGTCTTTGTCGTTCTGCCGATTTTATTTCACACTCGCCCCAACTCACAACTTTCGTGTCACAACTTTCCCAGCACGCAAAACATCTGCTTAGGAAATTCTTTTTCTCAACACCATTCAACTCAACCTCCGATCAAGACGTGAGTAAATCTCGAGTCTCAAAAACCAGGCCATACTGAGATTCCATGAGAAATGTCGTCTTCCATCGATGCCGATATCGAGCAGGTCGCGCAGGTCGCACAGGTCAGTTGCAGTAAATGAAATCACAATCATGTCTAACATCTCAATAGGCCTTGGATGATATATCTCTCGAAAGCTCCTACCAGGCCAATCATTCGGCTGACGCCGTCCCCAAGTCAACAAGCACTCCCGATCGAGTGGTGGGCGTTGGTGGAGATCTCCAGGCTCGCGTGGAGGCTATGTACAAAATGATCGCAGTTTATGTGGAACGTTAGTTCGATGGGAAACTGGTGACGAAGAGGATCAAATTTCAAGACCTAGCCGCCTATGAATCCGATGGCTGGGTGCAATGGTTTCCCAGAGCAAGGCGCACAGTCCCGACAATGGACGAGGACCATCGCATGGCCGAGGAGATCAATGACGTCCTCACTCCCTCCGAGCCCTACAAGGCTACCGCCAACATCATCTCCCGTGAGATAGAGCACCCTCGTGCCGGTGACAACATGGCTTGGGTCGAAGGACCAATGGGTGATGCAAAGATTCTGTTTCGTGTTCGTCAACTTTCTGCACTGAACAGCGTCGAGGACAACCGCACGAAGGTCACACTTTCAGTGGAACGCCAAGTCGACGGGAAATTGGAGACTAAGAAGATCGAAGTTGCAGCCCCAGCCGCGCACGAGTATGATGGCTGGGTGCCATCACTGCCATGGTTCCCTGCGCCAGAGGGAGTGTGTGCTGATTGGGGCGGTTATGATACGTTTTACGAATGGCAAGTCAACGGCCGAGCCGTGAATGAGGATTGGGTCAGTCAGTATGACCCTGATTGGCGAAACAAGGTCGCTGAGCCAATGAGACTTGTGGGTGACGACGGGAATGAAGAGGTCATTCATTACAGTGACGATTCAGTCAAAGCCATGCAGGAGAGGGCCGCCGAGCTCAAAACTGTGCATGAGAAGCTCTGGGGTTAAGAGACTGGCGAGACCAGCGGAATTACGAGTGACTAAGAGCATTTCGAAGTCATGGTAGTGTTTATGGAGGCAGAATGACTATCCATGTGATGCTCAAGTTGGTCTGTCAGGCTCGCTGCTCATACTGGCTTCAGCTTCTCGCCAACACGGTTGCCCAATAGGCTCACCATCAATGGCAACATCATCGCCAGACGGCTTCCACTTCCATTGGCGTGGGCCAATCCAGCATTTCGAGTCTCTCCCCCTCAGCAACTGATATTTCGGACTGCCTGACGGCTCCCAATCTTCCGAACATACAATCCCCGACCCTTCTTGATTGTGACGTGTCTTTTCGCTTGTGCGAGTCACGAAACATTTTCCTTTTTCTTTCCTGTGCCTCACAGCACCCAATATGAGGCGGCATACTGCTTTCAGTTCACTCGGAAACTCACATTGCCTCATACAAGAACAACCAACACCGTTAGATACACGCATAGGTACAGGAGCCTTACGGTGTCCAGCAAGACTGAGAGCATTTTGTGGGCCTTCGCTTCTGTTAATCTTTGAGCGGCTCACGCCTCCGAAACTCTGTGTACTTAGCACATACCGTTGTAGTTCCCTACCCCTCCTTCTTGTTGGGCTGCAAGGCTGAATCAAAGTACTGCAATCGTGACCTTATTGTTCTTGAACATGTACAGTTCCTTTGCGTGCTATTGTTTTTTATTATCCGGGGCCCTAATTTTGGCCAACTACTTATTCTACTCGCATGATTCAATGTGCAAACTGATCGAACTCATTCTTGATGGAGGAAGACATAATGTTAAGGTTGTGAGCATTTTCTTGGGGTGCTCAACAAGTGAGGTCGCCGTAAAGCGAAGTCTTGTCTTGGACAAATGCACCATCATGATCGCTCTGATCACCAAAAAGGTTTCTTGCCCACTAGCTTGAGGGTGATCGAGACTACCATCACCTGCAGCCTCAGCTTTCTCGGAGGGCGACCGGCACTTCGCTGCGCCTTGTTGACGTACCTCTGGACAGCATCGCTCCCATTTTCTTTATGCAGTAGGGGAATGCATAGACAGGACGCGAGATGAGACTAAGGTACCTTACCGTGCGCCTCTGATGTTTCTTGTGTTGAAAATTAGGGCTTTAGATCGCACCTACCCAACAGGGCAAATTTGGAGCCATCTAAAAGACCTTTCAGGGGAGCAAATCGAGCGGTGTGGTATCAAAAGGCTGAGAAACGATTGAGAATTATTAACAAGCTCCCAATCACCTTCGTCACACCTCAAAAGAGCTGCAGTGCCAGCAGCTGCCCACCACCACACCTGAAGTCAGAGAGCTGTGATAATGAGAAAAGCCTTCAAACTTATCACGTGAGCGCTTGCAGAAGCCCTCGCACAAAGTGAGGCCGAATATTTCATCTCCATCACAACTACACCAGCCAACCTAAAACACAACCTCAACCGCAACCACAACAACCGCAATTCAAAGACTGCCTCCGATATCTCGCCCATCGATGATGGCAAGATGAATCTTTTCTTCCTTTAAAAAGAGTCTTCAGAACAAAAACTTCCATCGAAGCCCACCGAGATTGATACCAATCCGTTTCCGGGGGCAGAGTTTCTTGGTAAATATCAATCCAAGCAAGTATGTCGCTCCCCTTCTTGTTCTCACTTCACGGCAATATCTTCACGCCTTAGACTGCGGCCTCTCTATTTATCTGACCTCCCACTCCGTTCAATCCCTTCCGCCTTCTGAAGCTGACAATGAACCAGTACTTGATCAGCCCCTCCCAGGTCACGATCGTTGTTGGCGATGGGCGATCTGGCAAGAAAATCTAGGATGAACCGCGAATTATGTTGGCGTTAAACATCTGTACTGGCTATATCAGCTGTCCAGCCAAAGTGGCATGTTGTATGTACTTAACTCGTTCACTCGACTCTTTGCTCATCAATGCAGGAACATTCGCTTTCCGACTCCCCAGGACCGACCCCAGACGAGCATCGCGTCTAGCTGAAGACCCCCGCCATGAAAAAGATGAAGAAACCCTCTTGAGGGCGCAGCAATTATCACAAAAAGTCTAACGACCACCGCCTCATCGGAGCATATCTTGGGATTTGCAAGGCATCCTCGAAGTTGTGAGCTTGACGAACATGATTCGGAACATGAGCTTTCACCAAACACGTTCCCCCACAAGTACGAATCACCTACCACGACGTCCCTCGAAACAGGGCAAGGTTTGAGATGACTGCCTTTTTCTTCTCGTCGGCCCATACGTTCATTCTGGTCGAAGACTAGATACTCCGCCTCACGGCATCCCATATGAAGAGTTTGAGTTAGTGAGTGCGCCATGAGACGGATGGTTGCCTTCTTGTTGCTTGCCTTACGGCATCCCTTACACGAAGTTTGGTTGGTGGAATGTCCACTCAACGCAAAGTTTGCAGGGCTTACGCCTTCCTGTTGTCTGCCTTACGGCACCATTTCTTCTCCTCTGTTGGCCTTGCGGCTTCCAATTTCAATGCTGGAGCTATTCTCACCAACAACTGCCGATGATGCATTATTGAGGAGGCACCAGAACTATGGCTGGCGCCTTCACGTGGCGTTCTGGGTCAGTAACTGGTCTTTTCTCGATAACCCAGTGAAGCCAAGATCAGTCTCAAGGACAGCAGTATCTAGTCAACCTGGAAGGGACCCAAGGTAGATCAGAGAGGGTACAATCATCTGGTAATGGAGATTCACGAAAGTGTCATCGTTGGATGTCGGATAAAAAGTCTGTTGTGGCAGAGTGGAAACTACGTATGTTTTATTGTTATTCTACCCTCCTTGCGTCTAACATCACCAGGCCTGTATCACGATGGATGAAGCTCATGAGCGATCGACAAATACCGACATGTTGCTTGCTCTTCTCAAGAAGCTCATTCATCAGCGCAAAGACCCCAAAGTTCGCTTAGTCTTCTCCGCATTTTTCTCAGTCCTAAACTAACATTCATCACAGGCCGTCATCATGTCAGCCACAATCAACCTCGAGAAGTTCTGTCAGTACTTTGGTACTACAAATGTTTTCGAGACGAAACGACAGATTAGCGACCTCCAAACTAAGTATGTCGAGGAGCCACCAACTTGTTACGACTCCGCCGCTGCGATGTTGGTCAAACAGTTCGTTGCCAACAAGCGCAAAGGGAATGTCCTTGTGTTCTTGACGTCGGTGCGGGATATCGATAAGACCTGTGCCATGATTCGACGAGAAGTGCGAGGCTTGAAGGTACTCCCAATGTACTCTTCATTCCCCAGGCATTCGCAGGATTTGGCCACTGGTGGTTGCACCAGTCAGGTATGCATTGTCGCGACCAACTTTGCCGAGGCAAGTTTGATAATTCCGGGCATCACGTATGTCATGGGTATGCTCTTTGTTGACCACCATCACCAACCACCAACCAAGACCATGGAGAAGATGAACAGTCTCAAAAGAAATGAGTCCACTGCCGCTGAAGCCGCCGCTATAGAAGACGGCAAAATGAACCCCTTTTTTGTGGAACAAGGAGTACTTCCAGCGACAGGAGTTTCGACAAGTACCACTCGGAACAAGTAAGTGATTTATATCCCACATCTAGCTACATCACGCTTGGCTCGATATCCTTCCAATCTCAACTTGATACTTTGCTCTCTTCAGGTGCAGCAGTGAGGAACATTGAATAACTCAATGACTAACCTTTCCCAGGTCACCATCGTGTTTGATGAATGGGCAAGCGGCCTGCTTGTGGCTTGTACGCAACCGCGAGTAGTCGCAGCAACCGGTGTCGCAACCGGTGTCGCAGCCCTTGTTGCTCAAGAGATGGACGTACATTCGGGCAGCATTGTCAGATACAAAGTCAGATTCGACAAGCAAAGCTCAGGCGCTATGCTTCGCGGGTTCCTTTCGATGACCTTTTCCTCCAGCAATATGCTGGCCTATCCACTGTCGAAATACGTATGTTTTATTACTATTCTATGCGACTTGCGTCTAACAACAGCAGTCAGGCCTGTATCATGACCGATAGAGCCCACGAAAGAACGACAAGAACGACAATACCGACATCTTCCTTGCCCTTCTCAAGAAACCTGATTTTGGCGAGCTGGTGGAGGGGAGATTCAACTACTGAGTAGGCATAGGTATGCTGCCCACTGCTCCTATATCAAAAGCCTCCGGGACAGCGAGCAGGACGCGCTGGGCGAACCCTGCCCGGCGAATGCGTTCGCCTGTACACCAAAGAGTTCCACGACCTCGGAATGACCAGCAACACCCCCGCTGGCATTCACATGAGCGATGTATCATGATGGCCAAGTCTTGCTTCTCAAGGCGTTGGGATTTCAAAATGTCCCTCAATTCGATTAGATCGATTCGCCTCACCCTGAGGCATATTTACGGGCGATTGGAGAACTCAAGGGCATGTGAGTATGAATGACACAGATCAACAAATAGTTACAATTGTTTGCGAGTCTTCTTGAAGAATCTTGACGTGTCCCCGCAAGGCAGCTCAAATGGAAGTGCATCAGCGCACATAGCGGCTGCACAGCTGTAATATCCCAAGAGACCGGAGACAAAGCCAAAGACACCGGCAGCTTTCATGAGGTTCTTTGCAACCTCGAGCTTTCCATCAGCATGGGCGAAGTTGGAGGCCGCGTCAAGGGTGAAGCAAAAGAAGATAGTGGTAAAAATGCCAAATGAAACCAAGTTACTAAAGTTTGTCAGCCTTGTGAAGACTAGAGAATGTCAGAACTCTTACATGGGAGCTGATCCAAGCATGAAAAACAGTGTCAAGACTGCCCAAACTACAGGAAGGTTAGCTGTAGGATCAATATGAGCATCAATCCAGACCTACTCAGAACGTAGAATCCCAATGCGTTGTGATACTCGGGTGTCGGTCCGCCATAAGAGTCAATGACACCAAGTGATGGGCACAGTATGACTCCGTAACCACCATAAAAAACAGCTAGAGAAGTGATTAGCCTTGAATCACAGCGTCTCCGTCGGGAATCGTTTTAGTCACTCACCATAGGCGCTCAAGGCAGAGTAGCCGAAGGTGTTACCACGGGCCATCTCCCACTGAGCAGAGACAAACATGCAAAGGCCAGCGGCGAAGCAAAGGTTGCCAATGAAGATTGTCTGGGTCTCAACTCCACGGAAGCCCATCATGGACAAAGACAAAGTGAGAAGCGTAGTGGCGAAGGTGCCCATAGCCAATGGGGACTATCAGGTTACGTTAGTTGTAGTCTAGGTGGGAGATATGGTAAATGATGTACAGGATTGCCGATGCATTGGCCCAAACCCGGAGCTGAAGGGCTCGGTGAGTGAGAACGAATCTCTTCAATACTCTTAGTGGTCATTGTGTATTTTGTACAGTGTTGTGTGATAATTTCAGGGTATGAAGCCTTATCAAGTCATCGTAGAGAAACATTGAGCCTCAGGACTTGGCATTGAGACCTTTTATAGACAATCCTGATTCCTCCCTGCATTTTGCAGAATTTTCTTCCCTTCCCTTCTCTCGACCCGGGTCTCAACATTTAGGTAATAGTTAACCCATGACTACTACCGCATTAATTTCCATATGCAGTGGCGTCAAAGTGCAGGAGTTAAAACTCAGACTTTTTTCGACTGTGGAGGAAACCGTTAGCTAATAGGTGTGCAGCCGGCCCGGACTAGCGCCCCGAATCTCCCCGGATCATGGAGCAGTTTGCGGGGTTGGTGTTTTCATGGGGTAATAGGGTATCACGGGACGTCAAAAAGAATGGAAGATGATGAAAAGCAAAGACAGCGGTGAAAGATAAGATTAGGGCTAAGCCGTGATTAGCCAGTAATTGACGAGTGACTGGAGAATCGAGATCATGTCTCGGTCAGTAGGTACAGAATTTACTATCCCTCACATACCATCAGACACTGGGGGCGGAAAGCAACAGGTTTACTATCAAACAGTTTCAAGATTCTTCGCGTAAGTATAAAGCCTGTATAAAGCCTATCTTAGCCTGTATGGGTCCATAGATCCCCCAAGTAAATTACCCATGCACCTTGTGGAAGTGTCCAATGATACCTCACCAAAGGTCTACAAGATATCAAACAAAGCGGTACTTCATATATGGAATGACAGTTTTAATGAATGGAACCTTTTGCGGACCAAACTCACAAGCCTGGATTTCCTCGTAGATCATACTCGCCGAGAAGCCCCCGATGGTCTTAGAATATGTCTTCTCTTTTTTGCACGGCACAGGCATTTTAGCCTCAATCCAGCGGCTGTAAGAGACACCACCCGACGAAAATTCGAGTCTCTTTTTCCGAAGCGGTAGCTGAACGAGGATGTCTTCTACTGCTTTGTTGGCCTTGATGAGATTGTCAAGGGGGCCTTTCAGATCATTCCTAAAGCTCTTCTGGATATTGATAAGACCATCACGGACTTTGCGACCAGATGCCGTCTTGGAAAGCTCAGAATTCTTAGCCCAGTTAACAGACAGGATCTGATTGATGGACGTAGCAGCAGTCTTTGCGGCGCCTGCATGGTTGCTGATGAGGTTGAAAGTCCCTGTGAGCTTCTTCAAGTCGTCTGCTGCCTGGGGGAGATATTGAGTCACCCTGAAGGCCTTGATGACGTCTCTCAAAGAGTTGACGTGATATTCAGTCATCAAATTAAGATAATACGCTTCATCTGCCGGGGTTGTGGTGTACTTGATGGCATTCTGTGTAATCTGCTTCATCTTGGGGATGTTTACAAGCGACTTCCCTGCAGCACTAGGAACACCTTGTAGACTCTTGACTGTTGCGATCGTGCTTGCATCTTTAGAATAGTTAGTCAAAGTTCCAAGCCTTGATGCGATAAGTCTTACACTTCTTGAACGCGTTGGCTGGCGTCGCCCCTTTACAGGCATTGTTTTTACAGACATTGGCCTTGACTGAGTTGACTTTGGTGGAAACAGTCTTGAGACGCGCTTGAACTTGCTTCGAATAGGTCTGTACATCTGTCGTCTTCTTCTTGAGAGTATCAAACAAGGTACCCCATTTGTTGAGCATCCCAACAAAATCGCTTTCGGTGACACTGTATGAGTTCTGAACGTAGCTGGCGAAAAAGGCACGAACTTTCGGTCCATCACATGTTCCAGTGTAGCAGGACATGACTGCTTTGGCGAGCTTTCTGTACGTTGCCACGTCAATCTGGAACTTTGTTAGTGACTGCACAGTGACAACATAGTGTCAATGGGCTGTCTTACCTCGGGGGCTCGAATGATGGTCCAGCCATTTGTAGCTGTAAGCTGGCTCCTAACCACCGATGCTCTGTCTGTCATTACGTTATATCCATTGTCTGAAAGACACTTTGAACGGTCAGAGAATGGTGGAGAGAACACGATCAAGTTGACGTACTGTTTCATCCTTGGATATCAAGTCAAGATACGGCCCCGTTAAGTGTGCATTGATCTGGCCATCGTAGTTGGGTTTGGCATTTGAATTGGTGCCCCAGTAAATGGCATTTGAGAGACAAGAGCAATACGTTTCGGCGTTATTCACGAAGTCGTTACTGCCAAGTGCCTCATCGACAGCGCTGCAGATATCCACGTCCTTGGTTACAATTTCTGTATCAATCTGGACACCATTGTCTGTAGGACTGATTTTAGCTGGGAAATAGTTTGAAGCTGCGTTGCCTTACTATAAATGGGTTTTGGGTAGTCGGGATACGTGACAGTGCTACTACAGCCGATGACTCCCCAAACATCACTACAGGCATCATCGATGTGTTTCTGCTCAGCAGCGTCAGTGCGGGAGAGAAAGGCACCGAGGAGTAGGGAAAGTGAAAAGGCCTTCATTGCAGAATTTTTGAGTAGGTCTTTACAAATGGATGATGATTTATCTGGCGAATGCAGGATATAGAATTGTATTAAATACTCAAGACTAGCCCCCGTTCACATGAGGTACTGTCCTCGTGGTTAGATGCCAAGGACCCAGAACGTCGTCGCAGCCAGCCACTTGCAGCCCAGATTCAGTCTGCCCTTTGAAGGCTTTTAGCTCTTCAGCCTCATTCTTAAAGTGCGAGGCCTTCCAAGCGGAACTTTCCATGTCACGCATCACCAGCTCGTTTCTGGCTGCCGGATGAAGCATGGTATGGTCCTGAGACAAAGACGATTAATGGTAGGGCTGAATTGACGAGCGTGTGAGTCGCAAATGGCTTAGCAACATGCCTTCCCCTGTGAGGCTGAAAGGCTTAATTTTATGGTTATTGAACGCCATGGATTTAGCGATACAATTCCATGTTGATTCGTGCGTCTTGCGCCACTAAGAGTCTGGCCTCAACGACCGGACCGGCCTTGGCAGGCTGATTGCAGGTCCCGGGTGCTAAGCAATGTGCCTCTTCTGCACGATCGTTTGCATTGTCCTGTTTTCAGGCAAGCCTCGTCAGTTGCTTGGTATGGGCAAGGCAGATGTTGGTGGATGGTGTCTCAAGCCATTGCCCCTTAGCATTCTTTTCTACCTGGAGACATTTAATGCAAAAAAATGCCTTGCGGCTTCGCCTTGACTCTTACCGCCCTGACACAATACAGAAACAATACAACCTGCTGGATAATGTCCCCAACATCAAAAAGGGGCAAAAATAGTTGTCCCTCGATGGGCAAAGGGCAAAAAAATGTGGTTCCGCCCGGGATCGAACCGGGGACCTTCTCGGTGTTAACGAGATGCCATAACCAACTAGACCACGGAACCGTGTCAATTGGATATTTAAGTGTCCTGCTGTTAGGCTCTAAGTTCCCCGTTGTTGTCGATTGTCTTTACTCAGATCAGCTTGCAAGCATGATGGCGCTCACGATGAAGGAGAAAGCTCGCAGTCTTTGCAATTTACCTTTCTTGCATACGTTTGTAGGCATGTTTCTTCTTCTTAGCTATAGGTCTTTTTGAGACTGTCTTAATACACGTGCCTCCAGGCCGGGGCCTGTCAGGAATGTGTCACGGGTAGTTATAGGCCGCCCACGAGTTCAACATGCAAACCAGTTTATTCTTTCTATAACATAAATACCTGCATACTTGAACGTTAAAATTATTAAGCTATGGAAAAGATCCTCTAAAATCTAATTGTGTATGCTAATAACAGCTTTTCCGGATCGCTTCTCAGCTCGATGCCTCAAAGCCCGGACCAAAACCCCCGAATACTTTTCGTCGCATTCCTTTGAACCTCTTCTTTCGGCCATATACTTCTGGTACCCTCCAACATCTCGGCCCATTCATTGATCAACTTGTCCCTTCCACCACGACCTGCAAAGTGTAGTAAGAAGTCCCCTCGTCTCGCATGATAGTCCTTCAAGCCATCTTCATCCGCTTTCTCAACGAAGTCTGTGGGCGATCCTTTAGGATAAGTGTTGAACCACTCTTGAGGGACAACTCGAACGTTGGGTTTGAACTTTGATTCGTTCATTATGATCTCCATCGCACTTTGCTCGGTAAATGGAAGTGAGACGTTGGGTCTGTAGTATCGAAATGCAGCAATGTCGCTGAACAGTTCAACTGCCCACTGGTTTACCCGCACGAAGAATACGCCGTTGTTAAGGCCGTTCCAGTCGTTGGTCACCAAGAGGTGTATGTCATCGGGGTTCGTCTCGTCTCTTCGCTCGGACTCGGAAGTGTCGGTGTCTTCAGTTTCGTCAGACTCGTCATCGTCGCGAGGTGAGAGAAAGCTCGATAAAGGGCGACACTGGTCGAGAATGAGAGTATCACGGTCCACCCAGAATAGCCATTCCAATCGTTCTTGGGCAGGCTTCACCATCTCTTTCAGGAGGAGGGACAGGATGAAGGCAGGTTTGTTCCATAGCGAATCAACAACCGGAGTGCACATTACCTCCAGGTCGTTGTTATGGATCATGCTATGAAGTACATGTGTACTTAGCGCTTTCTGGTAATGTTCCTGAACTGAACCAAAGTGTGCCGTGACTCTTCCGATCCGTACATCTGAGGAAGGGTATGGAGCCATATGCTGGCATGCATTCCGTATCGTCTTTGCCTCTAGCAGAAGGGAGGAGTTTAGCGAGGGTAAACATCGGCTCCCACCATGAGGGTGAATAAGAGAAAGAGGATCTTGTGAGGTGCCGCGACTAAAAGACTTCGGCCAGCTCCATTCGCCGTAGAATGTGTAGGCTTGGTAGCAAAGGAGGATGCCAAAGAGAGCAATGACTACTTTTAGAGCAACGGCGGCTGTTGACCATGGTAGTCTCTTGAGTTGAAGCATGGTGATTGTTGATTTGCCATTCTGGTCCGTCAGATCCAACTACTTATATTGATGGAGCTATGGTTCTGGGCAACGCGAGGACCTCAGGAAGGGGCCCCAAGATCCGGCCATTGACAAGTCTTGATTGTGAAGTCGTGACGATATCTCTGTATCTGTCGTAACAAGTCCCAAATATGCCTAGTTCCAATCCTATTTCCAAGCATATTTTTAATCTACAGGGATTGCCATTTGGGGAAACCCTCCACACTTCATTACGCCGGTCCATCATGGGATAAAGTGAAGTTCCATGTTAGTACAGATATCCAATGAGGATCGCGCGCCTCGTTTCCGCAGTGACATAATCGTGGTGGCAGTGATGTCGGCTAGCCCTGTAGCCCGGATATCGAGGACTAGCGTGGGGATAAATTAAGACGAGACTGTCACGCATTAGTACAGATGCGGCAACTTGTCTCTTGACACGAGCTAGATCCCTCGGGAATACGAAAGATCCATCATTAAACAGGAAAAGTCGCTAAGAAAGCATTTCGCTTCTCGGCTGAGTCGGCGACGTGAAACAGCGGCCCATGGTGGGTCGAATTACGGCAGTACCAATGAGCTTACAGGCTACGGTGGCCCGCGGACATGGGGGATGCAGCAAACGCTCGGGCGAGTCAACAACTATCACGAGCTAGCACAGCCCTATTTATACTGGTCATGTTATAAGTCCATTCAGGCTCCCCGATATGTAGCTCTGGTTAGCCCTCTCGTAACAAATGGATCACCATGGCCACCATACAACCTCAAGATCAACCACGGAAGAAGCGAACCAGGGCCAAGGTTCCCAAGGTCAGAACAGGTTGCAAGACTTGGTAAGTGTCTGAGACCTCGGGTCGGCAGAGGAAATCCCGGCTAATCCTTAATCTAGCAAGTCAGTTACTCGGATAAGAGCGAATGGCACGAGCTGTAAGACTAATCTAGTGTTGCAGACGTCGCCACTTGAAATGCGACGAAGCAAAGCCGTCCTGCCTTCGTTGCTTGAGGGACAAATGGACCTGCGATGGCTACTCACAGAGCAGCCCTGAGCAGTTTTACGTCAGCGTCACTTCCTCTTACGAGCTGCCTTTGCATCCAAAGACTGAGGAAATGACCAGCGGGCCCAGTATATTACGCCCAGCTCTGACAGACGGAGTGTTGGTCAATACAGCTGATAATGCTCTGTATTACCATACTAGGGAGTGGGTGATTCCCGACCTCGAGATGATTGATGGCTCAAGAGAGTTCTGGCACGACATCATATTACCACTATCCTACTCGAACACTGCCATCAAACATGCCCTATGTGCACTGGGGGCTTCTCATCAGCGGTTTCTCGCATCATACCCAGGGAACCTTAACAACTTGGACCATTCCATCGACTACGACCATCAAGCAAATCTCAAATACAGCGAAGCTATTGCCCTAATACGTCCAGTCATGGCAGAGAACACTGCCTCCAACATACAAACCGCATTACTATGCTGTACGATATTTATTTGCATCGAGAACTTACACCGCCGTTATGCAGACTCGGTCCGCCATCTCCGCGCCGGTCATCAACTTCTAGAATCACTACGAACCCTTCGATCACCGGAGATATCGCCGAACGGAATGAGCTGTCAGCCAGGAGACGCTGTATTGTTGAAAACATTAGCTGCAATGTTCTCCTCTCTCGGAAAAAGTGTTGGCGCCTTCACAGGAGATACCTCCTTCTCCAACATAACTCAGTGTACTCCAGAGATAGATATGGGCAATCCCAAAACGCCTTTCTTAACCATTACAGAGGCTGAAGACTCCTTATCAGCCTTGAACACCTTCTTCGACGACTGCCTCTTTGGCAGCGACACTCCGCCCGGCCACGATCAAATAATTGGCTGCAAGAGTCTTGCGCAATCAGCCACCGAGTCGTTCACCCATGCTCTCGATCTAATAAAACCCCTTTTCCTTTCATGGAGTTCAAAGATGCAAATTTTTGTCATGTCTATCCAGATAAATCCATTTGGAACCCTGGAGAAACGCCGCTTGGCTGTATTGTCTCTGTATCAGACAACATGGTCAGCTTTTCTCAATACAGACCCTCACAATACAGGGTTTTCGAACAGTGACTACGAACGGATACTCAGCAAGATTGAGCAGATCATTGCGCTAGAAAACTCCCAAACCCGGCCAATGTTTGCTTTCGACGGTCATCTAGTTCGCGAGCTTTCTACAATCTGCGCTTCATGTACAGACGCCGAGATCCGGAACAGATCGATCACGATATTACGGTCAATGAATAGACGTGAAGGAGTCTGGGATAGTTGGGAGGTGGCAAACATCTACGAGAAAGTCTTCAAGGGACTAGAAGACGGTACTTTGTCATTTGATGATTTACCATGGGGCTTTACACAATTATTAAAAGAGCTACATAATTGAAACATAATATATCTCAACAATACATAACAAGTTGATGTTTTTGCTTCATTGAATCCCGTGATGACATCTATTTGCACTATGTCTATAAGGCCTGGCCATGCGCCTGTTCATCAGACCAAGTCCTCACGATTCCGCCACCACAAAGCCCTATGAGGCGCCATTGGA